AATATCCAGTTTTTGTACTTTTTTCAAAAAAAAAAAAAAGAAAAAAAAATCTCCATCTGGAGGAATGTTTGACGCTGTCACATCCTGAAACTGTTCTTTTTGTTAAAGATATTACCAGAATGTTGGAATGAGCTTTTTTTCTGGTCTTCTGGTTTCTTTTGTTTGTTTGTTCATTGTTGGGTTTTTTGTTTGCAACAATGTTGGGATCGTGGGTCATTGGAAGGGAGAATGGGTGTAAGTATGGTTGCGAGTGAGCAAATTGAGAATATCCTAATTGCATCTTACCTCATTGAGGAATTTATTTTTCAGGGATTTTTTGACAGTGCATCTGTATTGCATTACAGCTAAGCTGGTTTGTAAAGGCTTCCTGTGCTGTTAGTGGTCTTTCTTCTTTAAAGGAAAAAAAGATGCATCTTCTGGTTAGTACAAATGAGAGCTTGTTAGTGAGGAATGGTTCTGCTTTCTGAGTTATGAAGGAAAATTAGTGACCCTACATATACTGATCCAATATTGGGACTTTGTTTATATTGCAAATAAATATTATTTTTTCTTTAAAAATGATGTTGGTGTCAGATGCTTGTCTAGCCTCTGTCCGTATAAGGGCATGCTGTTTTCTTATCCCCCTCACTCTTTTTATGGTCGATTGGTGGTGGTCTGTGGCCATGAGCAGCGTTTGCTGGGCAGTGTTCAAGTGTGGTGTTTGGTTTCATGCACAGTTTAATTTTTAAGACCTGTGGTAAAATGGAGAGGGGGGCATGGGGGGTGAGACAGACTGGGGTATTGGGTAAAGCAGTGAACAAAGAACAGCTTGAGAATGGGACCAGCTTTGACCCCCAGCCGTCCCTCAGCACCAAAAAAATAGATAAACTAAAGACACTTTTGTTCACTGTTGCTATTACCACCTTACTGTTGTAATAGCAGGTTTCCTGGCCTCATGAGGCCCCCACTGACTTCTCCTGCGGCCCACAGAGAGCGGGAGGCCAACGTGCCAAGGTAGCGGCCTCCGCGTGGCACGCCGGCCTGGCTGTGAGGGCAGTGCTGCCTCCTCTGCACTCCCCAGGCCTCTGTCCTCGGGTGCAAGAGGTTTGAGAAACCCGGAGGCGCTCACGGGGCTCTTTTGGGGTAAGTCCTGGCTTCGAGTGCCTGGGTGCACCTCAGCTAATGGAGCTGTGGCCCGCATCCCCTCTGATCCCAACTGTGCAGGACTGAGCTGGCCAAGCCAGTCCTTGGGGCACTTGTTACCTAGCTTCTGGTGCAAAGAGGCTGTTAAAAAGGTTGGTTTGAAAAGGTTAATGACTATTTGCAGTTGGCATCATACTCTCGTCCCCTCTGGAAAGAGGGAGGCGAGCAGGGTGGGTGGCTCGGGGTGGTGCTGGAAGCAACGCTTGGTGTGGAGTCCACGATCCCAGCTGAAAAAAACCCACTGAGTATGTTTTGGGGTTTTCTTGGTGGTGGAGATTTTATCAATTTTTTTCCCCCCAGCACTCCTTGTTTTAATCCAAATGGCAAGAAATTAAGTGACTATCGTCTTTCAAAATTTTGATCGATTCCTCTAAGAGTGTGTGTATGTGTGTGTATATTTGTTTTTTGAATCCCAGAGCCTGGACACAAAAGATTGCTAGTTTTACTCTAGGAAGAGCTCAGATGGAAAGGTGCCACATCTGTCACAGAGTAGGACAGCGAGCCAAAGACTGAAGCAGGGGACAAGCGAGCGCGTGTGAGCGAGGATTCGTTTGTTTACTCCTGCACTGTATGATGGGAATCTATATATCGATTTAGAGGCCTGTTTGTGGCTCAACAAATAAAAATCTACCTGGTACACTGGGGAAAGAAGACCTTTAGGTCTTCTCCTTTAATTACATGGTAGAGTAGCTCTTGAGGAAGATATGCAGTGCTGGAGCCTGGCTGCGCCCTGAGGGGGTGCCCGGCAGCTTGTCAGGTGTATGGCTATATTTGCTTCCATCTGACTTCCTCTTAGGATTTTCTGCCAAGGTGTGGAATAGGATATTAGCAGTCAGCATTAGCTCTGTGAGCTAGTTTGCATGGTAGCTGATTTGTGGCTGTCTGAAACAGTCAGATGACACTTGTAATGGCCTAGGTAGGAGAACTGGTATTCAGCCAGCCGCTATGTTGTTCCTCAGCAGGCAGCTCTCGTGAGGTAGCTAATCAGGGGAGATGCAAGTCTATTGTGAATATCCCTGCCGCTGCTGCATTCAAAAGCCCCGCTGCCAGAGGCAGGAGATCGCTTTCTGGACGCTTTCCAGACAAGCTCTTTCCTCCAGGACCCAAAAGGAGCTTCTTTCAAGCTTCCTGGCCTTGACAGAAGGGAGCGACCTGCCTACTGGGCTTGCCTGGGTCCTCAGCTGTCAGTGTTTTAAGAATGTCTTGCACTGTGCTCCTTGGCTTGGGGTTTCTTTAGAGACCTCATGTCCTGCCAGATTAATTCAGTAAGGAGACAAGAACTGACATCAGGAAAGGGTCAGTGCTGGAGAGGTCCACAGAGTGAAAAGAGAGAGCGGGATCTGTCTACGCTCCCTTGCAGAGCCAGGCACGAGCACTAGCTAAGTGTAGGAGCATGGGCTGAGTGAGAAAGCTGGTTATGTTCAGCCTGGTGGAATTTGGCAAGGAGATACCGCTTCCCACATGCAGCAGGGAGAAGCTCCTTGGTTAACCCATTGATTCCAGACAAGCTGCTTGTAAGATGCTCTGTTCTGCAAAACCAGGTAATTTCCTGCTTGGGCTGAGCGATCTGCCGCCACTGTGTTTTCACTTGTGATGCCACAAGCCCTAAGGTAACAAATGTGGGCACTTTTTTTCCTCCCCCATGAATGACTGTCTTACCTCTCTAATTTCAGCAGCTAGAGGGACCGTAGCTTGTTGCTTTCAAAAGGTTTCTGCCGCAGTTTCGAGTCACAGCAAGAGCACAAAATTCTTAATACAGGCAGAGTTAAACCTCTGCAGTTGCCTGCTGGAAAGTCCATGTAGCTGCTTTTGAATGCTTCCAGCGACTCTATGTGTAGCACAACACGTCTTCCCTCTATCCTTCCTTCCGGCTGGCTGGGAGCGCTCAGACAGTTACCCCAGCCAGAGAAGAAAGCGGAAGGAAAGCAAGGGAATTCCTGAGCATGAAGAACAGGTCCAAAGGCACTGCAGTGTTAAGATTACTTTTGGTAACGCATTATGACACAGCACGGTTGGCCTAGGCCTTGCTGTCAGGAATAAAATGGGATGCCTTCCTCAGGAAGCCACTGGTTCTTGTCATTTTCTTTTCCCTTTTGATGTTTTAACTGGGTCCCTCCAGCTCATGGCATCTGTAGCTCTGGTCCTGGCAACTGAGCCTCAACTCAAAGGTGGGAATGGGCAGGTGCCCCAGTACCCCAAAAAAATGCAGAAGTGAGATGTGAAAGGATGCTGTTAGCGTCAGCAGATGAGTAAGCAGTACCCTTGCCCCTCTCCTAGGCCCTTATTTCTTGGTGTGGCATCGAACACGCTTTGAGCATGACGCAAGTCAACCTTTGCAGCTCTGAACTTGCCTTCGGTTGCGTCACGCAGAGACACCCGTGGAAAGTAGGCTCTTCATGCCATCGTCTGAATTTGGGTGCTCATATCTCCAGGGTAACCAGGTTATTTGTGGGCTGTTGTTATTTTCTTTTTTTATCCTCTATGTGAGCAAATCAGGCTATTTGCAGTGTTGTGGAGGCATTTAAATAGTTCAGCTAATCAACACGTTCCTGTATTTATAGTCAACTGGCGCAGGCTGCAGTAGTCATGCTCTGGGCTGCTCGAAAAGTGTGTGAAAGTGGGGTTTCTTCCAGATCTCAGGCCGTTTGCTCTTGGGCATCTGCAGATGTTTCTCTCTCGATCCTACACGAGGTCTGAGTGCTGGGCTGATTAAATGTAACACAGGGTGGGAACACGGGTGAGGTACGTGTCCACCAGGCAGGCAGGGCAGCTCAGGAGAGTCAGGGCAGGAGCAGGTCCAGCCTCCACGTCCCGTTTGTCCTTCTCGGGAGCTTCTCGGCTCAAGCTGGGAAGCTCCCCTCCTTGCTGGCTCTTTCTTCTTTCTGGCCGGGTCACAAAGTGGGTTACGGACCAGCCAGTGGCGCTTGGCTTGGAAAAGATGCTGAAATGGAGGGACCTCTAACGAGAGCTGCCAGAAAAGGCCTTGGGTCAACCAGAAGCGCCGAACCGAAGGACGGGCCAGAGCGAGGTGCGAGGCCTGCGTGGGG